CCCCAGACCTTCATTTTTCCGGTATTTTTTTCTATATAAATTATACACACAACAATAATAACAAACCCAGTATAATCCCTGCCCCATTGGAGGTTCGGTGTCAAGATATACGCGCCCTTACCCTCATAAATATTGAGACTCTAGATACATTGAACATGCCACATTATTTTACATTGAAGGGTAAACTAGATATTTTGCACTAAATTTGTATCAATAGTGGTTGCCTTAAGTACTCTCCTCAACATGTGTATCTTCGCCAAAGTGGAAAGATACACAAGGACGGAGCGAGTATATATGCTTTACCGAACAAAGCACCGATTTTGGCCTTCTATTATACTATTACTGTCAATGCCATTTGATTGGTGGGCAATTGTTGGGTCCCATGCGTACTTTGTGAAACATTTGGGAATTAGAATTCTTACCATGTTACTTCTTGTTATGGCGATAACAGCACGTCAAAAGAGCTGCATTGAGGGATTTCAATGCTAGCAGTGCAGAGGTTATCTGTGAGGTACATATAATAGAAGTTGTTAGAGTGCATGCTAGGAGTATGTATGGTATTTGTGAAGTTAAAATAATCGCTTCCATTTTCCAGCTTCGGTATGACGTGCCACAACTATATAAATTTCACAAGAAAAAGGAGGTAGACATTGCTGTGGACTTGTGGCGATTTGTACCTAAAAGACACAACATGAGAAGTGCAAATTGTTGATTGTGAGAGCATTATATTGCATGAAGCAATGTACGAAATCGTGTCCCTCGACTAGGATTCCAGATTGGGATTTTTTTAAAACACTTCATTGTGCAAACAAATTGGTCTTGAATTTTTTTTGGAGAGAAATTTTGTCAAGCATGTCTTCTTTTTTTTTTTTTGAGTCAATAAGGTTTGCATACTGACTTTGGTTTATGTTGACTTGACTACTGATTAAGGTTGTAAACTGAACAAAATTTAGCTTTTCAAACAAAACATGAAGTATCTATAGTTTTGATTCATTTATACCGTAAATTTATTGAATTCACATACTAAGGAAAGTTAGTTTGGAAAGTTAAATTTTATTGAGTTGAAGAGGAAGTTTGTTTGGAAAGTTAGATCTTATTGAGTACACAGATTAATACTTTATTTAAAAAGTGGAGAAGTGGTGTTTGTGTTTTCCTGCTCAAGAGTGCTAGCCATTACATATGGTAATTGTGATGTTTAATTGGTAAATAATAAAATGCTATTAATACACGCTAATATTAGTTTATTACTATACCGAATTTTTATTTCACACAAATAATGATATTAAAAGTGGAAATAATCAAAAAAGGTAATAATTAAAATGGACTATAACTATTATACATATACGTCTTTTTGGAATTAAATCAAAAGGAAAGAAAATAAATACTCTGTATCCTTTAAATATCTATTTATGTGATATGTGATGAAATTGTTAAGTATTTAAAGATGGTAAGAAATTAAATGGACAATGTAACGTAACATACGGATTTTAAAATGGTAATCATTAAAAATGGTAAGGGACTTGAATTATCCCACATATTATTCTACATATACAAATTTTTAAGAATTAATTAAAAATGTAATGATTAAATATCCTTTAAATTGATATTTATGTGATAATGCAGTTAGGTATTTAAAAATGGTAAGAAATTTAAAGGACAATGTTATGCAATGCACGGGATTTCTTTTCCAGAATTATACTTCGAGTTATATAGAATGGAAATTTGTTTATAAACAAAAAAGTTCCGTTTCAAAAATTAAAAAAAAATGAAAATTTCTGTTTCGTAAGAATAAAAATAAAACATGTATTGAAGAAGAAAATAATAAGAGTTTTGTGTATTATTATTAAGGATACAACGCGAAATTAATATACGCTAATTAATACAAAAAGGGTTATAAAAACGGTAATTGCATCGTGATTGATAAATAACACAAAGCAATTATACACTATTTTTGGTATCGTCTATTAAATTCTTTGGCATGGTATTACAATTTTAAACTGTAAACGTATATTATTTTCTAGAATCCAACGTATTTAAAACTAAAAAAGGCAACATAATATCTCAATAATGAATAATAAGAATAATAATGGCAAATGTAATTCTTTTTTTACCATTGTAAATAGCTCAACTGTAACACTTTATTGGGCCTGTTTGGGAATAGCGTTAGATATTAGCGTTAGCGTTTTAGATAAAATTTTAACGGTGCAGATCATTCTGAAAACGCTAACGCTAAACGCTGCCCGTAGATAACTTTTCAAAACGCTAACGCTAATAGCTAATGCTATTCCCAAACAGGCCTATTATCAATAAACCCTTCGTACTATAAATAGAAGTTTTATAATTTCATAATATAAATACGGCCATTTGCAAACCCTTCGCAGTAAGATTATTCAACGTGGTTTTTATTCTGTGCTTTAAAATTGCCTTTCCTACGAGCATGAGGAGCTTAACCGCTTTAAAAAATGTTGATGAGAGGTCAGCGATGTTGATGATGAAACTGAGAGCGATAAGAGTTTATCACGTTCCTGCCTGATGAGAAATATTAATTGACCCGAACATCTCGGTTCGAATTTCCCAATTAATATTACCATAATTATCATCACCAAACACTGACCACAAATTACTCCTCGTACCATACTTTCCTTAATTACATCTACTATTCACTCGTTACCATAACTACCTCCACCCATCACTCCTTACCATAATTACTCCCACCATTCACTCCCTACCATACCTATCTCCATAACTACTCCCTCATCTCTCACTATAAATGGAACCCTTCACCTTCAGGACTAGGAGGCCAATTTCCATATTTTCTCCTACACTACCTTGTAACTATACTCTCTCACATTACTTAGAAAATACTCCTTGTATTATTTATTCTTTATAGAGTTAAAATGCTCCATCAATGGCTATAATGGAGAGATTATGTACAATGTACAAACTCTGATATTAATAAAATCTCCCTGTTGGCATGATACCGCCAAAAAAGGCCCGTGGTTTTCTCCCGGTTTGGGCTTCCACGCCAAAAATAGCTTGTACGTATTTTTTGTGATTGTTAGGCTCGTTTATCATTTTGACACAATAAAAATGATAAAGCCAGTCATAACAATTAACACCATCATTTGGCGCCGACTGTGGGACCAATTAAGTTCGGCCATACAAAGATCGATGCTCGAGCCGTGCAAAGTCCATGGTCGGCACTACAAACTTAGGAAGTATATTCTCAAAAAAGTAATCTTTTGGAATATTTCTCCTAAAATATTCGAGAAACCTAGAGAGAAATTATGAATTTCAAAGAACAATCAACCATAGAAGAGATCCATTTACCAAAAATCATCTCTCTCTCTCAAAAGGAAAGGTCAAAATCTTTTACACTGTTGAGACGTGTTTCCCGACGTGTTTCCCGATGTCACTGGAGGACTACTTCCACGTCGTGACGTCAGCCAAGAACTTAGATCCAGTAAATGGAAGTTGCCTCCCATTCTCCTGGTTGGTAATACGAGCTAAAGCTCCCAGACCTGTCCAGTTATCCCACAAGAAGCTCAAGGATCCATCATATATATTCCAAAATATGTAGGGTTCAATAAGGTTTCGAATAAAGACCATCCTCTTCCATATCTGGGACTCACCATGTTGCCACACCTTAGCAACAAGGTGAACTCTTTGACAATATTTGGCTTTCATGAATTGAGTCCATAAGGTGACAGAGGTTCTAAAATTCCACCACAACGTGGCACTGCAAGCATCCACCATGGTCTGCATTCTTGTAAAGCCCAAACCTCCTTCTTTAACAGAAAAGCTCATATGCTCCCATGAGCTCCAATGGTAGTGCTTTTTCCCAGCAGATTGGCCCTAAAAGAAGTTAGAAAAGTTCTGCTCCATTTTACTCAAAATTGTTTTGGGAGGTTGAATAGCCGAGAAGATATGAGAAGGAAGAGCTTGCAGCACACTCTTAATGAGGACTTGTTTACCACCATAGGATAATAATCTCCCCTGCCATCCCTCACATTTTTGTGATATTCTCTCCAATAGTGTGTTAAAATAGCACACTTTTAGCCTCCCTTTATATATTGGACATCCCAAATAATAGAATGAGAAAGGTTGGTGTTTAACTGAAATGAGATCAACCATTCGATATCTCTTTAGACTTCACCAAACAAAAAAGGTAAGTTTTGATATCCGAAGATATCAAAATCAATATATCTTTTGCTCGCGAAATACGTCCTAAATATTTAAATGAGTAGTCTTTAACTTTTAAATAAACATTTGTTTGAACAATGTAATAATAATATAGGAACTCCCTATAGCACAAACTTTAGAAATTTCTTGTTATTTCACCCTTCCTTTTTAACTTTAACTTACTGTACTTAGTTTGAGAAGTGAATCACAAATTTTAAGAGGAACGGAGGAAGAAATATACGGAGTATGAGTATCAACTCAAGTGTGTAGTCCAAATGCCATCTTCAACTTTTATTAGTTGAAATAAAATATGACACTGAATTTGGTATCACAACCTACAAGAATAACAAGAGTCCTAAAACTAAAACCATGATAACAACAATGATAGCAATATAAGTTTCCAACAATACTAATTTTCAATTCAATTTATTTAATTATTCTTGTAAAATGCAAAAATATAATTTATGCATTAAAAACTACTCCCTCCTTCTCAAAAAGAATTCCTACTTTGAAAAAGTGGAAAAATAAGGAAGTGTTAAATTGTAATTGACTTCCAATTTTGCCCTTGATGTGATAGATAAAAGTAAGATGTGATGGGTAGATTATTAGAGAAAAAGTATAATGTGATAGGTAGGGTATGAAAAAGTAAGGGTAAAAGTGGTTTTTTAATAGAAAGTGGAAGTGTTTTGTTGGAAGTGAAAAAAAATAAAAGAGGAAGTGTTTTTGAGAACAGAGGGAGTATATTAAAAAAAAGTCATCCATGTGTGATTATTAATTTCTAATTTGGTCTATTTAGTCCATATTGTAGGGCTAATATTACTAATTTGGGCTATTTAGTCCATATTGTAGGGCAAATCTTGAAACATCTCACTCCAATCCGTACATGGGACTCCCATTTAATACATTTTTTTTTACAAAATTCTATATGTATCTATGAAACAAAGGGTAGCATTTTGTTTACTATAAATTTGAGTATAGTGGGAAAAAAAGTGCTTCGAATCATTGCTATTCGACTCAAACTTCTAAAAATGGCTTCCAAACCAAATATGTAATCTCTTTCCACATGTCAAAGAAGAAACGTACCCCTTTGGCTTGGCTAAGCCTAGAAAAGGCTCGTGGTTTTCTCTTTATTTCTTTTTGCTTTTGAGCACAAGTGTTGATTCTTAAGATCTCCAGTTGTATTTACACCAAAGTATGAACGTGTAAGCATTTAGTAGCTTGCTTCATTAACCTTTATCTCTAGAAGCTCTTCAATGGGTTGACGACATATCGGACACTTGTTTGATTGAAGCCTCAAAACCTTTGCGCATTCACCGCAGAGACACTGCAAGCAAAACCATGGTAGCCCAAAAAGGCCAAGACAAGGTTTTAGAAATAGAAATGCATTCTAGGCCAGATGAAAATTAAAAAGATACATGTACCAAAAGAGAGTTATCTCTGATTAGGGCAAAACTTTTACATTTTTGTAAGTTAACAAGTTTTATTTCCTGCTTTAACTAAATTTATCATATGTAATTTCTATATGATTTCTCTTTGGCAAACTACATCAAACAAAAGATTCATTCCATCGAATGGGACTTATGCTGGAAAAAAGCAATGTTCAAAATAAACCTCTTGTATCATGCATCATTAGGCGTTCCCCAAAATATAAGGAAAAAAAAATTAAAAAGCTAAAACTTGGAGCGTATATATGGATGAGACTCCATTGTTTTTTTGCTCATCGTTTTGACGTTTTTTTCCTTGAGGGACATCATTATAATATGACGCTATGTCCTTAATTACCTTTTGACATATAACTTCTTACTTATGAGAGAGTATGCAGATGAGTGATGATACTGGAAAATGAATTACTTTTAACATACTATAGACAATAATCACAAGAGGCCCTGATAAAGTTCAAAGTGTGCACCCGCACATGGCCTTCAGTCATTGAAATTTAATTTTCTCTGTTTCAAAAGAAAAGTTACACTATGTTTGGTCCAAGGAATTTGGAAGGAAAAGAAAAGAAAACGATTTTCTCTCATTTTCCTCACCAAAATGGAAGGAATTTGATTTTCTATCCTCGTAGTATATTTTGCCTTCTCTTTTTTTTTCCTTTCAGTTTTCCTTTCGTTTCCTTTCTAACCAAACAAAAAAAATATTGTTTTGCACTTCATTTTCTTTTCTTTTTCCTTTCAAATTCTTTGAACCAAACACAATGTTCGAGAATTTTTTAATACATTTCACATAAAAAATGAAAACTTTTCCTCTATTTGAAAATAAAATATCTTGTTGCACGGGGCCGTTATTTGCTTTGCCAATTCCATGGATGGCTCAGGCAAAAAACAGCAGCAGCGCCTACAAATAGTCATAGTATGAGCACATCATTAACACTATTTTTGTTTCAAGAAATTTGGAAGGTAAAAGAAAAGAAAATGAGATGGAAGACAATTTTTTTGTTTGTTTAGAGAGGAAAAGAAAAAAAAAAGTGGAAGGCAGAGAAAATGAGAAGACAAAATATACTGAAAGAGGGAAACAAAATTCATCCCATTTTAGTGAGGAAAATGAGAGAAAACAGTTTTCTTTTCCTTTCTAATTCCTTGAACCAAACATAGTTTAAAGGTATTCTAGCAACTATATATCCGGTTTCTCCAGCACAGAAAGATCATATGAAATGTTATTTTTACTGAAACTACCCATAATAAAAAGTGCAGATTTGAAAATGATGATACTCTTACCATATGTCTACAAGGCAAAACTGCTGTATCCCTTGGTTCAGTCATGCAAATGACACATTCTTTTCCTGAGTCATCATTTATGGCTGCTTCATCTGGTTTGCCAATTCCATAAATTTCACGCAGCTCATACCGGACCCCTTCAACCCATAAAATTTGCTTGATTACTTTCACTTGAAAGTGGTCCTCATTGTTCCTCTCTACAATAGCCTCTGTGATTTGTGCATGCCTAAGTTTATTGGCCTGTTGCTCATCAAGATGTTCCTCCACTGAAGTTGAAGGTAGACATGACTCTGCTATTATAACAATTGGGAAAGCATTTTCCCCAGGAAGTGGCTTTGATAGATCATCTGTGTCAAAGAAGCCTAAATCAATGCCAGTTCCCGAAGGCTGGCAAAACTTTTGGCTCAATCCTTTCTGGAATGCTATTCTCACAGGTTTTATCTCTGCATACACTGGAGTGTATGAACAGTTGGTCTCCTCCTTTGCAAAGTAGAAGATGGAAATGCTACAATCACGAAACAATGGAAGTCTATAAAACAT